TTTAATTATTACGGTCCTTTATAATAAATATTAGTAGTTTTAGATTCCTTCTCTTAAACTTGAAACCGAAATTGTTCTCTTGTTCACATGGCTTATCTAAACTTATTTATAAAGGAAACTTTAGGAAAAGATCTTATTTATGAAAATAAGTATTATTAGGTCTTATTAATATATACTACCTCCAATCTTTAATATAAAAGGCACTATATAGTTTTTTTTTTTTTTTTCAAAATTATGATGCAGTGTTGCCTTTAAACATCAGTATAACAAAAAATACTGTACTTGGTGATGTTTTTTGGGTCATGTTTGACAGTTTTACTTAATTAATAATTTTATTAAAATAGCCATAAAAATATGAGTACATTTATGAATTTTTCAAGTTAAGAAATAATTTCTGTCCCAGTAAAAAAACACAAAAAATTTAATTTGAAAAAGTAATAAACTGTAATTTAAGGTAAACATTATATATGTTTTTTTAATGTGAATGGTTTCAAAAGCGATTTGGAGCACCCTTATATAATTTTTGTATAATTAGCTATTCAGCTAAATCATAACACTTCGAAATGATGAAGGTGACCCCATCTACGTGGGAAAGGAGACTTTAGCCTTATCTGTAGGGCCCAGGACTTTAAAACCAATTTATTAAAATGAAATATATACTGATCATCTCCAACCACGGAAGACTAGACTTATTTGCAGTCAATATGTCGTGATTTTGAAGTAGCTTTCCATACAGGAATTGCAATAACAGAGTCCCATAAAAAACTAAACGTCAAAAAGTCTTAATATTAAGTGACGAGTTCCTCATGTACCACCTCACATAATTAAAGGTTTACATGTATTTCTAACTTTCAAAACATGTTATAATTTTAAAATATTTTCGTGACGTAACTTAATAAAATAGACTATTGAAGTCTTATATTCATAATTAAAAATATAACATAGTATGTGCTTAGAAAGTATAAAAGCCTTTACGGCTCACTCTATCAATACTTTCTCTTAATTTCTACTAGATTTTTTACTTGAAAAATGTTAATATAAAAGATGAGATCAAACTTCTCAGTAACTATTGAAATTCTAACCTATACAAGCAAACCATATATAACAAACAAAAAGCAGATCATATGTGTGTATAATGGAGATCACAGATTTTTACATTGAACTTAAATTTACTCTTAATTTAAATACATAAAAACCTTAGTTTCCATTGTATCAAAAAATAATACAATATACTGAAGGGAATTGAAAGACGACACGCAGCGGAAATCAACTTAAAATTTTAAAACTTTCAATCCCTTGCTCGGATCTACCGATCGCGTTTAAGTCAGGTAGTAAGAAGCATTACCTTCGGTGTTCGATTTCCTGGTGGCTCGGTGATTCCGCCGTTCAGGATGCCTCTGCTCGCCTCCTTTGTCGTTCGAAGTCGACAACTCCGGTCGGCTTCCTCTACCGGTATCCACACGAGTAGCCCTCAATCTCGAACGACGTGCTAGCGTCTATGTCCGTCTAGGGTTTCCAAAAATCCGTCCTCTCTTCTCACTTTTGGCCGTCCCTTATCTGCTTAGTGCTTTCACTCTCACTCACCAAAACCCTAGCTCCCTAATATCGAATATATAGGATGCTATAGGCATTATGAATGATATTTAATTTCGAAATTAATCCTAAATTAATTCCGAAATTAATACAATATCAAATATTACATAATTAGATAAGAGAACAATTAAATAAATACGGTTTATATTAAATCCGTCTCACAGATTTAATTCACCTATTTATTTAATTAAAAAATAAAGATATGACGGAATTAATTTACATAGATCTAATTTATCCTTATAAATTAAATCTAACAATTAATATCTCTTATATTTATATAATATATATATACGAATATACACGTCCACCCTATATTATTCATTGAATCTGGACATATCTTAGATTCAATGAATCTGGACATCATAACTCGTGTTGAGCTATTTTGTGTGCGACCCTGTAGGCCCATATGAAGTTGGCAGTGGGCCATTAACTATAATGACTCACAAGTCATAAGCGGTCTCTAGCAAGACATCACGACTATCCAAAACATATGAGGATCATTGAACGATGCAACCTTTCATACAACCATATCACGTTCCTTTTGTCACACGACATTTTGGTCATGGATGAGGCATGGAGAACGCCATCTTCCTATTCATGACCGTTACTTTCTCGATCCCTGAGTAGTCTAAGTATAGAAACAGAACTACCTTTCTATTATAGTATGGCCATACATTTCTCAGACTCACTTATCGAGGGGCCCAGTAATGTCTCTCTACGAATGTGAGGGACAAATTCCATCTTGACCATTCACATTCCTCCGCATGAAAAACCACTAAGCCTGAACATAGTCTTTATGATCACTCGGTCAAAAGTGACTTTTGACTAGGTCAAAGCTAAGCGTTTCTCATGTAGGAATCCATGATGATCTCAGGTCAAAGGGTACAGTGACATGGTTTGTATATGAGAGAAGCTTATGACTTAACCCATGCAGCTCTCTCATAGCGGGTCGGTCCAACACCTTGTACTCTTACATGTGCCTATGACTTTAATTTATATCTCTATATATCTTTAAAGTCATACTGGTCTTATTTCATCTTTACTCCCACATAGATGACCGACCAGGGACATTTAGGATAAACCATGAGTTATCCAAGGATAGTCATCACAGTAAACATGCAAATAATATGATAACGTAATTAATAAATTCATAAATCAACAATATTCATAGCAAAATGATTGGCCCCTAAGGCACAATTTCCAACATATACAACCTCCCTTATATCACGGTCCATCCTTATACCACTTATTGGAGTCATAGGCTAACACATATAGAAACTAATCTGTTTTCCTGGATTGTTCCAAGCTCACTAAGATATATTTGGCAAAAGATATAGAGTTTAAGTTCGGACTATGGCTTCTACCTTTGAAAACAAAAAAATAGGAAAGGTCACATGTCTTATAACTCTAATGAATTCCCTTCCAAAAAAAAAAATGAAAAAAGCTAGGAACTCTGACAAGTGCCATCTACTATGCACTAAATAATAGCATACCACCTAGTAATTGTAAGACAAATATATTTCTTTTCATCCTTAGCCCAACAATACATATGTCATATGACATAAATGGCTCCGTAAAAATGCTATTTTTTATTCTAAATAAGAGAACAAATAAAATTCTAATGCAAATTAACAGTACAATTCATTATAATTCAATAACTATCAATATATTTAAATATTGATTATAATTAATAGTAATAAATCTTAACAAAATAAAGTAATATATTAAAATATTTATTTGAAAACTCATGATATATACATTTATTTCAATATGATATAATAAAAAACTAGTGAATCCACAATATAATTATACACAATTCACATGTATATAAAAGAATTTTCAGAGTTGCCTGTTACTTTTAAGCTTATAAATAATCACACAATGATTACTCCAAAATTCATATAAATTTACAAAATTGCACATAAAATTTATTAATATAAACTCAAAACTATTCTAAAATTCTAGAACTACCCTTTAAACTAAAATATTAACTCTCAGAGGTCGAACTATTTATAATAGATACAATATTATTTGGGAATAAAATTTTCATATAAGACAATATTTAAATTTAATAACTTAAAATAAATATATATTGATTACCCAAAATGTAAATATTTTATATAAAAATCTCAATTATTTATTATAGTCTCATTAAAATTTTTTTCTCAACCCAACAACCCCTTTGAATTATAAATAAACTTTTATTTTTATTTAATTTCATAAAATTCTAAATTTACAATTCTTCAAGCTTTCAAAAATTATTTCAATTAATAATATATATTTAACTTATTCAATATTTGGACCGATTAAAATCTCAATAATAATAAGTTATTTAACTTAAATTTAATAGGTAAAAACATTCTATGTGTCTTTGAATAATAAATTTGTCAACTAAATCTTAATTTAAAATTCTCAAAACAAACAATAAACAAATATAAATTGATTAAAATTTATTAATAATGTATTTTTAAAATTTTATGGTTATTTGTCGTCAAAATTCATTACTTGCTCTATACCCAAACTATAAAATTTTTTTTTAAACATTATAATATACTACCAATGTAAAGCTCTAAATATATAGAAAATATTCATAAAAAGTATTTGATAAAAAAAGTATTATTGTGTACCTAAATGATCCTTATATAATATCCTTCAAGCACCACCTACCCTCCAACTCTCATGTGCTTGCTTGCTGTCTCTTGCCTTGCCTCACTTTCTCTTACTTTGCATCTCCAAGGTATTTAATGTTGTCTCCCATTAATTTTTTTTTCCAACCCTCTCCTCTTATTTATCTCCTTCTAACCACCTTTCCCCAAATTCTTCTTCATCATAAAAGGCGGGTTTTTTTAATATTTAATTAAATTAATAATAATAAATATATTTTATTTAAAATTTTTTAAATGACAAAATTTTTTAATTTTTTTTTTAATATAGTATGTAACAACTCAGTTGTCAATTCTTGCTTGAAAACTTATTACAAGTTGCTCAGTTGTCATTAAGATTTTATAGTAATTATGTTTTTTATGACTTTATTGCAATTCTTCTTTACATATAAATCATCCTTGTTCTTGATAGATTAAAAAAAAATCAACAAGATTTCTAAAAGCAAAAGCATAAACACTCGGTTGGATAAAACCCTTTTCCAATAAATCCTCTAGCTGCTTTTTCAATTCTGCTAGTTCCAAAGGAGACATTCTATACGGAGCCTTCGAAATCGAGGTAGTTCCTGGGGCTAAATCTATGGAGAACTCCACCTCCTGCTCTAGAGGTAATCCTGTAACCTTATCTGTAAACACTTCTAAGTATTCCCTTGCCACATCTATCTGTTTAATTGCTCCTGCTTCATCTCTACTGATCGAAAAAAAGACAACGAAGGCCCAACATCCCTTCTTTACTGCCTTATCCACTTAGGCAGCAGACAAAAGAACTGGACCACCAGACATCTCAGCGCATAACACACCTACCATAATCATCACTAACCTCCTTTTACAGTCGAGAATTACACCATTGGACATCGACCAATTCATGCTAATAATCACATCAATACCTTTCAAAGGTAGACAAAACAAGTCTATGGTAGAGTCTTGATTTTCAAACTGAAGTGCAAGCCTTAGGCACACTTTTGTAGTTACGACTATGACTGCTGCAGGAGTAGATACTCTCAAATCATAAGGTAGCTCAACCACAGGCAATTTCAACTTCTGGACACAATCTATAGAAATAAAGGAATGTGTAGCACTTGAGTCAAATAAAGCAGAAATAGCATGTCCTTGAAGTAAAATGTTAGCTTGAATCAAGTTTGGGGATGCAGAAGCCTTTTTGTTGGTCATGGCGTAAACGCATCCTGAAACAGAAGATTGACCAACCGGAGGTGTTGTCTACCTCTCTGGACAATTTCTAGCGATATCCCCCTTTATGGCACCAGAAGCACCCCAGTATTGCCTCGCATGCCTACCCCCACATTTGGGGCACAATCCAGTAACACTTGGGGTGGTCACTGATGAATCCTGGTGGGAGCTCTGTCCCTTGCTAGTCTGACTGTTCTCATTTTGACGCCTTTGCATAAAGCCCCTCTGGGCATTTGATCTCTGATTCTGTCCTTGATTCCTGTTCCTCCTTGAGATCCCTGAGCTGAATTGATTTATTTTTCCCACTACTTTGGTAGGTCCAAGATAACGAGCTGCTCTAGTTTGGTTTTCAACCCTCCTTGCCTCTGACACCTCTTTGGCCCTTCTAGCTACAACACGCAGCTTAACACACATCTCTTCAAAAGTCTTGACCTCCAACAGGGCAAATTGCTACTTCAACTCTAGCCTTGCACGGTTCATTAACCGTTATACTAGCCAGAATGAATGGTCTTCTGCCTGCCTAGGCACATACTTCACCATATCAATAAATCTTGTGATAAACTGATCCTCATGCATCTCTCCCTGTTTCAAGGAGTAAAGCAGGAATTGTTTTTCTATCCATAACTCCTTCGAGAAAAAGTGATCATAAAACATCTATTTAAAGGTCTCTAAATCTAGTTGAGATATGTCAAAAGGTCTTGCACAATTCCACCAATGCCATGCTCTCTCCATAAGATAAGTGACTGCCACTTGCACCATAAGCAGAGAAAGACAAGGAACGACAGTAAAAATGGTCTCCATCCGCTCGATCCATTTCTTTGCATTAGACAGTTCTAAACTTCCCTTAAATTATGGAAGATCATGACAATACACCTCTCTCCATACCTTGGCAATGTCATTCAATAGTAGAGGGTAGATAACTCCCCCTGAAGTATCTCCTCCCTGACTAACTTCTCAACGCTCCTCCCTAAAAGGTATATCTCTAGCTCGGTCACTACCTCTGAACTCCCTTTCGCCTTCTCTTAGTTCTCCTTCACCGTGTGCCTCTATAGTCACATCATTCCCTTGGTCCTCCTGATTGATTGACTCTTGCTGCTTCTTCACGAAGTCCTCTTCAAACTTTGTTAATCTTTTGTCTACCACCACCGTCATCATCTCCATCATTTGCCTCAAAAATGACTCATTTTCTTGAGGTAGCCTGTTACCACCGGGTCTGTCTGGCGCATCCGTACCATCTTTCCTCTCCCCAACTAAGAATGGAAGCCTTCATTAGTAAAGGAAAGAAAGAAAACTCAAAACAAACAGGGAAGGTATGTATGAAGTATGTATATTGGCACTAGAAGAACAAAATGATTGAAAGAAGTTAATATGAGTAAAAGTGGAAAGGACGGGCTCTGAGTACCAATTTGTAAAACTTCTTCGCCGATTAAGCATTTAAAACTCGTTATTTTACCACTACTATAGTAGAAAAGAAAAATTGTTACAATAACCAACCATAGTAGAAAAGAAATTAGCATATATTTTAAAACTGACATCCAAACTTGTAGGCCAAAACCCAAAATTTGGTGCATACGTCCAAAAAAAAACATTCCTTTCATTCTATTGGGCCTCCAAGCCTCAGGCCCGGGTAACCTAAAGAATCACATATAAGCCCATCTAGTGGTCAAATAAACAAGGATAAAATTTCATAAAACGTTGGGAACGGCCTCTGGCCAACAAAATAAGGAGTCAAATATTTCTCTAGTTTACAAGAATACTATTCCAAAATGACCCTAAAGGTGGCAATATACATTCAACCATACATAATGCATAGGCCAAAGGCATTACTACTAACGTAGCTCAAGCCTCTGTGTCCCTTCCTAGAGGTGTACACCTAAAGCCTTCACCTGGAAACATTTTAAACCACAGGTGAGACTAGAGTCCCAATAACCAAGATTTCCAATTCAGAGTACAGACTCGTAGGTGCTCGTGAGGTGTCAAGTGGGGCAATTAACATGTAATCTCATAAACATTAGCTACAAAACTCATGGCAAGTATAATGATGCAACCCATCAACCATATCCCTCATTTTGGGGGATTTTTTTTTGAAGAGCCGAAACTAGCCTATCCCTCACTGTGAGGGACATAAAGAGCCCAAAAGGCCTATCCTTCACTATAAGGGATGTAAAAAGCCAACCATCATGTATTAATAGAGGCCTTACTATGTGGTAGTATCAATCATGTCTCTCATCATGTCCCAACACATAAATCATGCTTAAGCATTTTACCAAAGAGTAAGTCCACATTTCAAAAGCACTTCAATAGATGGCATAACTTCCAAATTTCTTTAAACATTTAGCATCACACAAAACCGCATGAGACAAATTTTCCTTTTCAATATACAAAAATACATTTAGATCATAAATTATTACCTGGAGTGAGAAAATAACAAAACTACTCACAATAGCATGATAGCAAGTACAAAGAATTGGAAAGTGGTTACCTCTCGTATGAGCAAGGATTAACAAACCACCACTAATGGCCTGTGTACCAACAATACAAACAACCAGTCTACACAAGCACACAAACACAAAACCACCATGTATTTGTTATCAAACTAATAAAGTGGTCAAAGCAACACTTGGGGATACACAATTCCTAACCTCCACTAAAACTCTACCTAATTCTAAAGGGCCAAACCATCATAGCAACATTTGAAAAGCCACAAGAGTCCATTAGAACCTTAGCTCACTTTCCACGACATCAATTAGATGCAACACCTTAAAGAACCACTCTAGGAATTTCACACCCAAATGCCTCAAGAGAACAAATCAAGTCCTAACAACATTCTAAACCGATTAGACATTCAATTTAACCCACATTATCATAACCCAAATTACAAAACTCAAATTCAACCTCTACATTATCATCCTTAATCATAAACCTCCATTTTCCACAAACCATAACTCCAAAACTTCAAAATCTCCAAGTCCAAAAAACTACACTGATGAAACACTTAGACTAACCCATAATAATTATTTAAACTCAAAACAATCATTCAAAAACCTTAATTCCAATAAAAACCTAGAAAGCTCTAGGGTTTTGCTATAGAGTCCTCAAAAATTCCAAGAAAAAGAATAGATTAGAGGTTAAAATCACTTAATTGAGACAATGGACCCTTCGAAACACCTTCTTTAAGCCAAAATTTCAAAACCCTAGCAGAGCTCCAACTCCTACCTTCAGAAATTTCAATTTTCACATATTAGACCCCCCTCCTGCAAATTTATACATGCAGGCCCTTCACCATAGTAAACTAATCCTAAGAGGGATTTACTCGCCTAAAAACCCAACTTTGCTGGGGTGAACTCCTCATTTTTGTCATGATAAGAGTTTCCTGAGAGGAAACTCTAACTCACCTAGACAACCTTCGCCGTGATGAAACCTTCACAAGAAGAAACTCTCTCTGAACTCCTCAGTTCACCACAGCAAATAAATCCCAAGAGGGATTGTTTACCTGCTCCTTTAATTTACCTTAATCCCAAACCAAACACCAAGATCCAAGCTTAAACACTAAACGATCCCCAAAAATCAAAGTTAAAGGGCTACTAAAACTCAATATAAAACTCAAGACGTTGCAGTTACTCCTACAACACATCCCTGTACAATGTTTAATGCTCTAGGCTGAGTAGCAGAAGCAACCTTTAATTTATTATGAGCTTAAATGATGGATTCAATAAGTTCTTGCCAATAACCATGCCGCTGAATAGAAACATTAAACTAAAAGTCTATACAGGGCACCTAGGAAAAAAAGGCTATATGCAGATAATGGAGAACCATAAGACTGAATTACCTGGGATGCCTGTGCCCATAAGAAATCACAGAGCCACCCATTAATGGTAATGGAACTCTACATAAAGTTTCCTCCCGTGATATGAGTTACCAACCCTTGATCACCTATACTACCCCAAACATCTAACTGTATTTTCCAATTGAAATGAAATATTACTACCGAAATGGAATTGTACATCCATAATAGCCCTACGAAGACATGATCCCAAGCGGATACTTGGCATGTCCCCCCTCTTCCAGGTCTATCACGGGGGAAACAAAAACCAAGATTTGCTTTATCCGGTATTAATCATGAACTACGAGCAAATAGAACACCTTTTAGGAGTATCAATACCGTCACATGAATCGTAAATACATAAATATGATAGACCTAAAAATCTACAGTTCCTAATGGAATAGGTAACAAAGCAACTTTGCCACCCATTGCCACTAAATTACCACCCCCTCAAGTCAAATTGGTGCTTGTTGCACTAGAGGCTGCTGCACTAAGTGCTAAAGTGTGGTTGTTTTGTATCCATTGAGTAAAGACAGGTTGTAATTGTATAGCGGTATCTGAAAAAATATCTTAGGGTGACTTAAAGCACTTATGGTATCATTATGGATATACAAACCAAAACTATGAAAGCCTAAATATATACATTCCCAGTTGAGATGTGATATGATTGCATCGCGATGCTTAAGGACATGATCTAATAGATTGTTGTATTGACTAGTTAGATCATAGCTCTTACCATAAAAATGACTGTATGTGCTACAACACCAACTATGAGAAATCCACCAATCCATATGTGATGTGTGAACAATGAAAGTTGTGTACCATAGTCAGTAGCTAGATACGGATAAGAAGGCATAGAATACATATGGTGAGCTATAACAATGGTTAAAGAGCCTAACATAACTAGGCTAATAGATAATTGAGCATGCTATGACGTTGTTAGGATCTCATATAGGCCTTTATGGCCCTGGCCTGTAAATTGAGTTCCTTAGAGAAATATTCCACAATGGCTTTTGTCAACCTGGTCCGCACATTGCACAAGAATTACTCAACAACTTATTGGTAAAGCATATTCAATAGTTCTTGGAAATTGTTAATTATGTTCGTGACTTTATTTCTGAAATGACCAAACACACTAGCTAGCTGTCTAAACTTCTCC